TCACTATTTCTCAGATTGAGCTCTAGAATAAGAAAACAGCTTTAGCATCTTACTGCAAATACAGCTTTTTACTCTTTTTCAGGAAAGGGAAGAAGTGTATTTTCTTTAATGGCTTGAATTAATTTCTCTCAAATTAAAAAAAAACTTGTTTGTTTTGAGAAGAGATTCCTCTAAGAGACACGCATTTTTGATGTCATTTACATATATTTGGGTGGTTCTCAGATACTGCGATTAAGAGCAGTTATGACTTAAAAATGTTGAGCTTCTTATGAAGACATGGGGTGAAAGTCCCATTGACTTCTGTGAGAGACACATTTAGCTAGTAAAGAATATTTATGCAGGTACTGAATTGATTTAATATGCCAGCTGTGTGTGGCTTCAGCTTCTTGCTGTCACTCTTCAGCAAAAGATAAGGAGCCAGATGCTTTTCAGCTGGCTCTCAATCAGAAAAGAGGTCTTGGATGCTAGTCTTTAGAAGATTTTAGATACCAATAAAAGGAATTGAGCATAGTGACTTCATTCATTCTAATGGCAGCTGTCCCACTGTTTCATCAATTTGAGGGATGTAAATTAACATTTTGAGATTATTCCCTGTGGAACAATCTAATAGGAACCAAGCAGAAGCATGTAAACATTGAACTGATTTGAAATGTAAATATCCAGAATAATGTGGTGATTTGTCAAACTAAAAGGATTACAGATAGCTGTCCAAAAAAGATACTGGAAGATAGAAACACCAGAAATAAGGGCATTAGTCTTCTTTACCCTGTAAGACAAGGGTAATAAAACCACATCGATAAAGTCAGGTAAGGAGGTTAATTTAACTTTCTTTATTGGCCATTTTCATTTCAAAAGCATATAAAACTGAATAAGTATTAGATTGCTGCTATTGAATTGAATGAGATTCTGGTTTCATTTCATTTTCATGTCAGCTGTGCTTTATTTATTTTCCTTTCTTCGTTATTTATGTACACTCACAAAACTATATTTAAAATTATTTATGGATTTTGATTTAGAGTGACTAAAGTGAGACTGTATGAGATCCTTCTCAGACTATGTTGTGCATTCTTGCAGCTCTTAGGAAATGTAGTGTAATTTTTCTGTCCTGAGGCATGTTGTCAGAGGATAATTTGTAGTGCACTAACACAGGAGAAGTTAGTGTGTATTACATAATTAATGGGCCAAATTTTAGACAACCCTGTTTGTATATTTGTTTGAGGATTTCTAGCATCAAGAGCTGTAATTGGGAGCTGGGTCATAACAAGCTGTGAGATTTTAATTATCCAACATTTTTAACTGCAGTTTCCTATCTGAATTCAATGGTGATTAGCCATTTGTCTGCCTACTGTGGTCTTTATTAGTAAATCTTGTGTATGTCCTTTCCTTCACACTGGAGCTGATGCTGGGAGCAGGTAGCCTCAGGAAAGAGAAGAGGACAGTAATGAGAAGGGAGTCCTGTGTATGAATTCACAATATTCCTGTTGCTTTCAGGAGGACTTTGGGATTCTTTAATAATTAAAACAAAAAACAAGTAAAAAAAGGGGGTGTGTGGGAAGGAACAAGAGAAGAAAGTTAACAGTGCTATGTTTCTTGTCATTATTTTAGCTCCTTGCTTTTTGAAGAGAGACTCGAGCTTCCATTAGTAAAGGGCACTTTGGTGATACTTATATTTTGTGACAACATAAATTATTTTTTCTGAGGGTGGTTGCAAATTTTATTGTGTCAAGACAAGCATCCAGCATCACCCACTTTTACAGGATGTTGAGCTTGAACTTCAACAGGAGCTGTTTAAAGTAACTTCCCATTAAAATGTTCAGGTATGCTTCATAAAAGAAACAGAATGTAGAAAGGACTTCAGCCCATTCCTGTAGTTTTATCCCTATCACCTGAGTCTTGTGCAACAAAGCCAGAGTCAGCATCAGTAGGTACACTTGTGCTGTTGCATTAAGGTCAATGACAATGGCACAATTCTCTTTAGATGTTAAATCTTTCACCAGATAAAATCCACATATATTTCATCAATATATTACAGGCATACTGACTCTGGGACCTCTGAATAATTTAACACCTGAACATACTTGTTATTGTTCAAGAAAATAGCCTAATGAATTGAGTGAAAGTTCAAAGTGATACGAAGTCCTAAGGGGTTTGTGTGTCTCTGAAATTTTTGTCTGACATATTTTAAACACGGAATAAAAAAGTTAGAAGAAAAGTCAGTGTACAACAATGGGATGGTTGCTTAGGGCAAAAAAAAAATAGAGAAGAGCATCAGGAAAATAAACATATAGAACTTATTTTTCTCCTTGCTAGTCTCTAAGGAATCAAACACATGCTTGGAATCTTTGCTTGCAGTTCTTCCCTTCTGTTCCTTCTTTCCTCTTAAGCAACAATACTGATCTTAATTATATTTTCTTGATCTTGATTGTTCTATTGTTTACAAAATAGTGTCATATAAATGAGAATTAGAGGACTTGTGAATCATCTTTTCACTAAGAAAATGGCCCCTTTCTAATTTGTATAATCTATCATGTTTGACCTTTTTAAAATCGCCTGTGAAGAGCACACCATATACTGCTCTGACATACAAGGATACACAGAGATCCAGTAAACTGATATCTATCAGTTCTTTGTTCTCTTCTTATTTCATTTCATATGGTTATTGGACATACCTTGGAGTTTTTCTTTCCCTCGTGAGATGTAAGTGAGCCAGCAATTCTGTCTTTGTTCCCTGTTGTTTGTGTAAGTGGACAATTTATAGATACACTTGACGATATGAAAAAAGTACTTGTTGTAGAGAATATGACCTCCTACAAATTCAATCAGCTACTTTCTTACAGTGAGAAATAAACATGATTTATCTCTGGAAGCTTACTTCATAAAACATTTGCTAAGCCTAAATGAAAGAGAAATAGGCCTTAACAAAAACAACCCATTTTCTGAAAAGAGAAGAAAGAGAGGATTTGATTAACTGCATGTTGTATTTGCAGGTGGGTTGGCATTTATGGTCCAGCAAATAAAACAGGTCTCTTCAATGAACTCAGGGAGTGGTATTGTACTGAAAACATCTAACAAATGCCTTTGCATATATCTTGCATACCAAAAAATTGCCACTCCATTCTCTCCTCAAAAGTACATTATTTTATCACTAACACTTGAGAGAATGCATTTTTCCACATGACTTAGAGTTTTCTGATGTGTTTTTACTGGCCTGGAGTACTTTGCTTAGGAATTTTGTATGGATCTGGTAAAGAATTAAGATTTCATCTTGAATTCTAGTAACTACTGTATTTTAATAATTACCAGACAGCTGTTTGAATTCTTTGAAATTCAGTACCAATTTGTATTGCTTTTTTTCTTTTTGACAAGAAGCAAAATGTTCAGTAAATATTGTTATTTTCAATTGTTTCTGTCACTATCCTTTCAACAATAGAAAAATTACTCTCATAGACAGTATATCTCAGGAGTCTACTGCAGTAATATTTACGTTTCACAGTTTTCTAATGAAAGTCCATTAAGTTTTACAATAAATATTTACTTATGTGAGCAATCAGTTGGCTAGGAAAAAAGGAGAAAATAAGAATAAAGAAATGGGTGCAGCATTTTTTTTTCATGTGGTTTTCAATGTATTCTCATCTCAGTGGTACTAGAGGATTTTTTTTACTTCAGATTTATTTAAATAAGGGCAGTTTTGAATGAATAATAAGTGGCATCATTCATACAGAATGAATCATGGTGAGTGGCATTCCTCAGGGGTTGGTTTTGGGACCAGCAGTGTTTCACATCTTTGTCAGTGATGTGGACGGTGGGATTGAGTGCACCCTCAGCAAGTTCCCCAAAACCACTGAGCTGTGTGCTGTGGTGACACACTGGAGAGAAGGGATGTCATCCAGAAGGACCTGGACAGGCTTGAGAGGTGGGCCCATGAAAACCTCATGAAGTTCAACAAGACCAAGTGCAAGGTCCTGCACCTGGGTTGGGGCAATCCCAAGCACAAATCCAGGCTGGGCGATGAGTGGAGTGAGAGCAGCCCTGGGGAGAAGGACTCAGGGGTCTTAGTGGATGGAAAACTGACTATGACCCAGCAACATGCACTCACAGCACAGAAAGCCAACCATGTCCCGGGCTGCATCAAGAGAAATGTGGCCAGCAGGTCGAGGGAGGGGATTCTCACTCTCTACTCTGCTCTCGTGAGGCCCCACCTGCAGTGCTGTGTCCAGCTCTGGGGCCCCCAACATGAGAAGGGCATAGACCTGCTCAAGTGGGTACAGAGGAGGCCACGAAGATGATCAGGGGGCTGGAGCATCTACCCTATGAGGACAGGCTGAGAGAGTTAGTGGTGTTCAGCCTGGAGAAGAGAAGGCTCCTGGGAGACCTTATAGTGACCTTCCAGTACTTAAAGGGGACCTACAGGAAAGCTGGGGAGGGACTCTTTAAAATGGGGCATGTAGTGATTGGACAAAGCGTGATGTTTTTAAACTGAAAGAGGGTACAGTTAGGTTAGAGATATGGAAGAAATTCTTCATTTTGCAGGCGGTGAGACGCTGGAACATGTTGCCCAGATAAGTTGTGTCTTCCCCCTCTCTGGAAGGATTCAAAGCCAGGTTGGATGGGGCTTTGAGCAACCTGGTCTAGCGGAAGGTGTCCCTGCCCATGGCAGGGGGGTTGGGACTGGATGATCTTTGAGGTCGCTTCCAACCCAAACTACTCTATGATTCTATGAATGACTGCTGAAGGATTAAAGCTATCTTGAAAGATCTGTGTTCCAGGAACTTTGCAGCTCTCTGTGCATAAAACTGAGATGATGTGTTACTGTTTTCAGTATTCTGTCTAGATATACACTTATTAATCAGAAGTGTTCACAACAAATTTTCTGTTAAATGGACATTTTCTTTCAAAACTATCTGATTTCTAATTTCTGTGCTGTATTTCCATTATTCAGCACAATACCAGGCACTTACTGGAAAGGTGAAATTTCTGTAACCTCTTCAATTTCTCCTTAGGTAAAAGAAGAGGAGCAATCAGCCAATCACACTTTGATGATTCAAGAGACACTGCAGCAGGCTTCAGTGGAGCTGTCTGAACAGCATCACCTAGTAGTCTCATCAGATGAAGTGGAGGGAATTGAGACAGTGACGGTGTATACACAAGGTGGAGAGGCTTCAGAATTCATAGTTTATGTTCAGGAAGCTATGCAGCCTGTAGAAGAACAAACTGTGGAACAATCAGTGCAGGAGCTTTAGAGAACAGTGTTCAAAAGAAATGGCTTCTTGATTTGCTAAAGCCAGCAATTTTGGTTTTTTTTCCTAGCCAAAAGCAAACAAGCTGACAAATTTTCAGTTAATTTGTGAAGTGAGACCTTGTTACTAGTTAGTGATCTGAGTGGTTGGATTGTATCAGAAACTTAGATATATTATGTACACAACCTTCTCAGAGATTTTTTTTTTTTTTTTGTTGCTAAAAATTGTTCATATTTTGAGGAAAAAGTATTCTTCCCCTTCTTAGAAGATCTCTCACTTGATTCCTGTAAATCCCAACAGATATTGTTTGTTCAAAACCACATTATCCCACAATAATAAAACATCTATAAAGGTAGCTAGAATGTCTAGAAAAGTCCATACATCACATTTTATACATACTTAATATGTGCTTGACTTGATTGGAAGCAGAGTTGTTTTTTCTTTGAATTAGAAATGCTTCTTATTTCTGAGTACATGCTTAGAATGTGTTTGCTGAATTGTGGATCTAACCCAAACAAAGGCTCAAGACTTTTATTAAAAGCATACCACAGGTGGGTTGTAGTTTGTACTTGTGAGATGATCCTTTGAGTTTGGGAGGTATTTAAAGCCATATATGATAATTCTGGGTAGCAGTAGGATGACTGTTATTTAGATAAGTGAAAAATGATAACTCTTTCCATCCTACTGGATAAATACTTATCCAGGACCATATGATGAAACCAAATCTGTCAAATCAATTAAATATTATTTTGTTTTTAAGAAAAAAAATATATTCAAATGATTTGTAAATGCTATAAAAGATGTATGTTCATATGTTTTAAACAGACATGCTTGTAAATACAATTGTGTGAGAGAACTTGTACAAAAAACTTAAGTAAATATTGACAAGAATCTAGATATTCTTAATTATGCATGTATATAGGTCCAGATTTTTCTCCATGAATCTTGAATTGTTTTTGATTTAATATTTTTAAATTTGAGCTATAAAAGTTATTAATTAATAAAACAAAATTGTCATGTTTTCTTCTAATTCTCTTATTTCTCAAGTGGTGGCTTCCCTTTCACAGCTATGTAAAAAAATTTGCACTGACTCTGACAAATTATTCCTCCAGTTAGTAGTCTGTAATCAAGAAAGTAGCATAATGAAGTCTAGGTGGACCTTTCTACGTGATTTAACTTATTTATGGTCATTCTGGGTAGAAAAGTGGAAAAAAGATTTTGACTTAAGTTGATGTAATACAGTGAGTTGATTGTCTGCCTCTTCTAAGTCTGACGGGTTCTGGTAATGCTGTACAAAGTCAGACTCCAAACATTTAGTGATAGATTCTCCCATAACTGTGGTGACAAGGAATTTGAACTTGTTAATGGAAAAGAACTGAAAATCATCTAACTTCGGTGATAGCTGTGTTTCCTCTGGTTTAATCCTGAAAGTGCACAAGAAGCCCTGGGAACGTTACATTTGTAGAACAGAGACCTTTTGCCGTTTAGTGTAACTGGCTGGAGCTGGTCACAAATGTCAGTGTTGATTTCTTGTACGTTCAGTAAAGTTGACTAGAATAAGCCATGAAGTGTTTAGTAACATTTGCAACATGATAGAAACTGATGCACCAAATGTATCAACTTGATCAATCTGCATAAGAAACTTTATTTTTGTAATTACTGGTTAAAATTCAGTGTTGATTTGCAAGAATAATGCTTTCTAGTATCCAAAAGAGAAGAAAACAGTCTCAAAAAGTTTTCTTACAATTTATTAAAATATTCACAGCCCACTTGCTGTTTAAATCACATTTGGAAGAGCATCATGATTGTATGTGGTAACAGCTATGTTTTTTAATGTAAAACTTTCCTGAATCAGTTCAACAATGTATTGTATTATTATCTGACTGTGGGGGGGAAACATAAAAGTATTTTGCTATGCATAACTCAAGAATTCTTAAGTAAATTATTTTCAGATAGACTTAGTACTTACATCTGAGAGAGGTGTGTCTGTATTTGGAGGAAGGGTTTTGGATTTAGTTTTTGATTTAATTCCAGTATATCACAGCCATGCATACTTACTGTAATTTAAGGTTTGATTTATAATTGACAAGTTATGTCACATTTTTCTACACTAAAGCATAAACTTTTTTTTGTGAATTTTCTGTATCCTTTTATTTAAAAAATACTTTTCAATTCAGGTCTTAAGTTCCATGTTTTTTTGCTATTCTGCTTGTTAATGCAATGGTTGGAAACATATGAGGGATAAGTCAGGAAGGACTTTCGGCTGTGCTGAATACTGAACGTTAATTTCTTGCCTCCATAATTAATACATTTTCTTCTTTCTAGAATATGCAACATCTGTAATGCTATGAAGAGATAAGAACTTCCTCTTTAATCTAAGACATTGTACTTTACAAAGTGAATGTCCAAAGATTTGCATTTTTTCAGAAGCATAACAAAAACAGAGCTTTGTTTATACCAGGCATTTGGTTTGAGAAGCCAGGACTGTTCCAATTGTCTTCTGTCTGGTTTCAGAACAACCAGAAAGGTATGAATTAAATCTTTTTCTTCACAAGCTGTGCTTCTGTTATCACCTAAACAGCACAGATTGTTTTCAATGTAGATTCAACTCCTTTCATCCAATTAATCTTTTCTGAAGGTTAAGTGACATTTTCAGTTCAGGGGAGACAGGCAGATACAGTTTAAAGTTAGTCAAGTAGCTCCTGTTTCTGGAGGTTATACATTCTTCCCACACACTAGTAATTTTCATTACCATTTACTACACTATATGATCTTCTGTTTTCTTCTCTTGTTTTTTCTGACACCTGAGGAGTACCCTGGCTTTAGGCGATCACTTGGCAAATGCTACTCTTTAAAAGCTTATGCATGCATAAATAGAGTAACTGATGGGCTAACTGATCTGCACAACTAAGAACACATCAAATATTTCTGGGAATGTGTTGAGCACAGAGGGGCAATAGGTCTTGGAATCAGTCAAAGATTTTAAAAAATGCTTAAAGGAAGCTGCAAGTAGTTTTAGTGACATCAAAGTCATTTAATGGAAGGCAAAAATATGATGCTTGAAGCTGACTTCTTCAAAAGGCCTTACAGAAATTAACCAGGAACACTAGTTCTGGAAGGACTTTATGTTACAGAATGATATAAGCATCTGTACACAAAGGGGAAAATTTGGACTTCACAGGGCAAAAAGCATAAGTGAAGGTATGGTGAGGAGAATCACGGCCTCCGGCAACTCCGTAAGAGTCGGAAATCGAAATCCCTTTATTGCCGATACAAGTGTGTTTATAAATCTTCCTAGCAACTGATCACACATAAACAGAAGGTTTGATTGGTTAGATGCATTCTTCACACACTGTTCACACGCCTAAGACTAACATTTGATTGGTTATTACCCCCTGTCCATAATACACCAGGCAATTCATTAGCTACAAGTTAGTTACTGCTATCTTAAAGCCTATTGGTTAATTAAATCTTACAAGCACAAACACAGTGTTCTACACACTTTTAGCTCAGGGTAGAAACGACCTTTTCACTGTTTAAGAAACGACCAGATGTTTCCCATCAACAGTAGCCTGGCACGTTTTCTTCAGGCAAAGCTCAGCATCTTTATCTTGTTTTTCTATATTCCTGTTTGCTGCTCCCAAGGCTTCTGGCTGACGAAGGTCAAGATGTCCTCATCATTCACTAGCTGTACAGTACTCTCAGTTCTTCCTCTTTTCGCGTCCCTTTTGTGATGTAGCCAAAGTCTTGCTCTTGTCCGGTGTGGCCATTGTCCTCCAAAAATGATCCCACAGTATGGGAAATGGAGGTTCCAAAATTTTTCCCCAATTTATTATATCCACAGAGGGTAATTTCTCTTTCCAGAGTAGAGAAGAAGATGGGATTTGCCTGCCTTTCTGATGTGACTTAGTTTCTGTGGCTGGTGGTGGTTCCTCTTGTCCATTCCTTGATACTCGTGATTTTAGCCTAGTTAATTGTTCCTAACTTATATGAAGCCGCACTAATAGAGGTTTTGTACTGGATCTGTTTCACTTATCTGCAAAATCCATGGAGTAAAAAGAGAAAGCAACTGCATACTTTGCTGTTTTACCTCAAATTTTGGGTTGTATGAAATCACAGTTGGAGGCGAGTACTACAGAAATGATAATGTTAGACCAATTGTTCCTACTATAATAAGGAATTGCACTCCTTGTGTATATATACTTGAAATGAATGCTTTTAATGGAATGTTTTCACACAAGATTAAAGAAGTGACATTTCTGCAAGTCTGAGATTTTCAAAATGTTTTAATAAACTTCCTCTAAAGTTATAAAGTTCTGAGTCCACACAGCATCCTAGTGCTGCCATATAGAATATGGCACTTAATCCATTTGATCTTAATAAAGGAAAACAGAAATGTTTTCACATTCCAATAAATTTGCTCACAACATGGACGTGTATTTTACAAACTTAAAAAAAAAAAAAAAACAAAAAAAAAAACTGTAAAAAACCCTGCATCCCAAGAGCATGCAAGTACTGTTAGCACAGTAGAAAAAGGAAAAAAGTAGCAGAAATAGTACTGCAAGATATTCAAATGCTCAAATAAATGTTTTAAGATCCAAGTGGGCAGAGAGTTTGGCATGTGAAGGAAACTTCAGGAGTTGTGTTTAACTGCAGGATCAGCACTTGATTTTTGGCTTGAATTCTTCATGCCTGCCTATGGAGGAGGCTTATCATTTGATACTCCAGATTGTTGAAGCTTCAGTAAAGCCAATAAAGATGTTAAAATTTACCCAGTGAGGAAGTTTTAAGTACCTGGCCCATCTGAAAATCAAACTCTTGGATTAAAAGCATACCAAATACTCAAAAGTGACCACTTTGAAAGAACCTTTTGTTGCACCTAATGTTTTATGGAGGTAGGAGAATCACCCAGTCTTACACCTTAAAAGACTGCAAGCCCATCTTTTCTTGTGGAGTTGTATCTCTGTAAGAACAGTGAGGTTCAAGTCAGGACTGTGCAACTAGTATTGAAAAGAGTATTCATTTTTATTTTTTAATTTTTTGAAAATATTTATGATTGTTATCAGTGCGCACATAGCAGATCTGAGTGAAACAGATGGTGTATGCAAAATTGCAGTATATGGATTTTTATACTTTGTTCTGTGGTTTGTGGGTTTTGTTTTACGCTAGATTACAATTTCTGCTTTTTGTATGTATGTTTGAGCTATATCTGAAAGTTTAAACAGGGAAGAACATGAGCTCATTTGTAGACTGTATCATTAACAAAAACGGGGTTTCTTTAGATAATGCTAATAATACAGTCTTTGCTTACATGATTAAACGTGATGAAATGAAGATGTTCTTTTCCCTTTTGTAATATGTTGACATTGAGGTTACTGAGTATTGTAGTTTGAGCTCAGAGGGCAACTAAGCACCACACAGCCGCTCACTCCTCCCTTCCCTCCCAGCAATGAGAAGGGACAAATGAGCCAGGCTTTGGATTTGAGATAGAACTGAGAAGGGCAAATCACCCATTATGGTCACAGGCAAAAGGCAGACTCATTAGGGAAAGAAAAAAAGAACATACATTTATTACAGACCCTAACAACACATAACAGAGTAGGACAGTGAGAAGCGTTGCCACATCTTGAGAACACCTTCCCTCCACCCCTCCCTTCTTCCCGGGCTCAGCTCTGCTCCCGATATCTCTACCTCCTCCCCCAAGTGGCGCAGGGGCAGGGAATGGGGGGTGCAGTCAGCGCTGCCACTTCCTTCATCTTCGGTGGGGGGAGTGTCTGGAACTTGTTCCTCCTGCTCCATCGTGGTCCCCCTCTCACAGGAGATGGACCTCCACAAACTTCCTCTGATGCGAGTCCTTCCCATGGGCCACAGTGTTTCCTTACACTTCTCCGGTGTGGGACACCAACTTTGTCCGACTGGATTCCCTCCCACGGCTGCAGCCCTTCCCGAGCTGCTCCAGCGTGGGACACCCCCGCATGCTGCAATCCTCCCAGTGCTGAACTACAACAGCGGGGCTGCCTTTTTCCTCAAGACCCCGGCTGTCTTTGGTCACAGACACCTTGATCATCCAGCCGGAAGCCACAGGCCATGAATCAGTGCTCCACCGTAGATCTCCATGGGTGGCAGGGGGGGCCGCCCTGCCGTCTCCCCACAGGATACAGGGGGGTCTCTGCTCCGGCACACCTCCCCCCTCCTTTCTTCCTCCATTCCTTCACTGACCTTGGTGTTCACACAGATGCTGCAACTCTTCCTCACAAGTCTGACTCCTCCTCACCACGTCTCTTCTTAAATACGTTATCGCAGAGGCGCAGCTGATTGGCTCAGTTTTGATGCAGAGGTGGAGCTGACTTGGTGCTGGGGGAACTGCAAGAAGCTTCTTACAGGGGGCCACCCCTATAGCCCCCTCCCCTGCTACCAAAAAAAACCCCACTGCTCACTCAAACCCAGGACACTGAGTTGTACTGTACATGGCTTGACAGCTCAATTTGCATTTCCATCTTTCTCATCATTAGTGGCCATAATTTCCATCAATAGAAGCACTACTCCATTTGTCTTTTTTTCTTCCCTGAAATGAGGACAACTTTTTATCTTGGGAGACTTTCATGTTCACTCAGTCACAAAGATATATTTTGGCACATCCTGAGGGTATCAGACTTGATAGTATAACATAAATATGCAGTATCGTATTCATTTCTGCTGTAATTCCACAAGGTACAGGTAATTGATTAAGTGATCTTTCATGTATTCCTGTTCTCAACTTGCTTGTGTTGGACTTTAAGTGGTTAAAAGCAGTGCCACACATTTCAAATCACAGTGCAAATAACAGTATGTTATTTTTGTTAGGAACAGTATGTTCCTAACAAAATGTTCTGTTCAAGTCTGTTGTATTCTCTCTGTCAGTCTTCAGGATGGTTGAGGCCATCACGTGTTCACTCTTGCTAAATACTCATGGATAAAAATGCTCTGCTAATATGTAAACATAATGGGATTTGAACCCTTGGATTTTAATTCTGCTTTGTACACAACTGAGAGATCATGTGCAAAGCAGAACACGGTGCAAACTCACCATCCCAGAATGACTTTTTCTTTCCTGGAAAGAGTTGCCAGCAAC